TCCTGTGTTATAAGGAAGTTTTAGATGTTACTAAATGACACTATCTTTACGGATTTTTCACGTTTATTTTATTCCCGACGTTTTGAAATAAACCTGATTTGGAGAAACCTCCAGGTCCGGAACAATTATCTGTGGGTCACGCAAATACTTGCCCCGTGTGGGCGATTCCCACGAACCCTGACGCCGAAGCTTTTTAACTCGCGCTGTATGATAGTATCATCGTCAAGCTGTGTCATGAAAGCTAAATGAACTAAATAAACACGGCGTGACGTATAAGTTATCCAGGTCTTTTATGTGAAAAGTTGCCAAGCTAGCAGACGGTTCACCTGATGTTAAGTGAATACCGCCGCCCATGGACATACACCCGAGGCTTGCAGATGCGTTGACAACCTTTTGAAAATTAGGCTCCGGCTATCTCACTCAACAGACGAAACGCGAAAGTATTATACTTCCACTTTACGCCGGTCTTCTGTGAGGTCGGGGTATTCACCCGGACGAGCTTGCCCATTCGTGCACAGCCGAGGCTGCTGCGTGGCCCTACCACCGTGAAAAAAGGTCTATCCAATATACAGCTTTTTTATTAATCTTGAAAAATCATCAGTTAGCGTCATGTTCAGTTGTAATGTTTGATCAGTTCTCAACATCCATAATGGAGTAGTGGAAAATAGAGTACCATCTCCTTTTTCCACCCTTGTTTCTCCTGTTAATATGTAACAGTTGTACACATCTAGTTATAAGTAGTAAATAAAGGCATTTTCATTTTTGAGAATTAGCAAATAATACAACTTTTTTTATTAACGAAAAACAAAACCGACTTCTAATTCGAAATATCATCGCTCTGTATTCATTATATGATTGATTTTCAGGAGTTCCCTAAGCATCTCCGGAGCCCAAGATCCAATACCAATGAAATTAATATGGAACCACGTGGGAAACACCGGCTTCAAATAAAAAAAGAATCATCAAAATCTCACTCAGTCGATAGTTCTGAGGTAAAAAACAAAAAAAAATACAGTCCAATTGAGAACTTCCTCCTCTTTTAAAGTCGGGCGAAAATTGATAAAACCGAATGACTAATAACGTGATATGAATATTAATGAATTATTCGGTAAAAATAGCACGTTATTAGAATAAGACAATATCTGAGAGGGTTACCATTTTTACACTTGCCGGGATTGTAAATCATCTGCATGCTATAAGACCCAGATAGAAAGAGAGAGGCACCTGAAGAGAGAGACGTGAGATTTAATCGAATTTTCATACCGTCTAAAGCCGTGCTTTTACAGGCAACGCCCTCTGTCGGCGCGAAACATTTAATGTTCGTTTCTTTAGCGTATAAAAACTGACATGTTTTTATTTAGGAGAACAACAGAAAATATAATAAATGTACGTTAGGAAAAAAATGATTAAATGTAAGTAGATATGATTACAAAACACAGTTACTGATAGCAAAGCAATTGTTTAATCACTCTTTGATTTCATGAATGAATGTTTCATTGAATGTTACAACACGTTGTAAACAAACTATTTGTACTATTGTATCTTTATTTATCAACTATTAATTCATGGTCACGGCCAACTCCGTAGGTTATTTACCAACTCAGCGCGATGCGATTTGTTGGATGAACTGGTTGTTCACAAAGGAATTGTTGTCAGATAAATATAGTGTTGCAACATTTACTGTTTCGGTTGCTTAGATATAGCCAGATGGTTTATTTTCCATGTGGATATGGTGGAAAGATTTGATAGGATTTTATTATATCAAGGCGACACTGATCTCTTATTAGGTTTCGTACGCAAGGGCAAAAGGGACCCTATTGCTAAGACTCCGCTGTCTGTCCATCTGTCACCAGACTATCTCATGAACCGTCATTTTTTGACAATTGTAATTTTCACAGATGATGTATTTCAGTTGCGACTATAACAAAAATACTAAAAAACATAGGAAATGATACTCAACTTCTTTTGATACGAAAAGAAACTTAACTTGTATTCCCATACAACGGACATGATTTTTCCCAGTTTTTATAGATAATGGTACGGAACCCTTCGTGCGCTAGACCGACTCGCACTTGGCCGGTTTTTATATTTCGAAAGTATATGCAAATTACCTCAAGACGTTTTCCTTCACCGCTGTGGACTTGTATAAGTCAGCACTTAAAGTTAACACCGAGGTTCGAGCTTATGTTGTCCGAGTGTACTAAATTAAGAGTGTTCCAATTTGCGAACTTATAATCACAAAAACAAAAATCTACTATATATTTCGAATAGAGCAAAGATTTGGCATGACACTGAGGTAAAATGCTGACATTTATTCAGCGTTGCAGTTTTTACTGCAACATTCTGCTGAGTAATGTCCTTTTAGGCATGAACCACGACGTAGTATAATCAAAACGGAAAAATGTCCATGCTTTTTTAAATAAAATAAATAAATAAATAAATAAAATAAATATTTTAGGACACATTTTTACACAACATTCTCTAGTCCCAAACTAAGCAAAGCTTGTACTATGGGTACTAGAGAAACTGATAAACATCCTTTTTTTGTAAATAAATACATATTATACACCTATATAAACACCCAGACACTAGAAAAACACTATGTTCTTCACACAATATTTTTTCAGTTGTGGGGATCGAACCCACACCCTCTGGCGACGGAGGCAGGTACACTATCCACTACGCCATTCAGGTCGTCAATTGTTTAATGTTTAAATTTAATGCCAGTTTGTTTTGTATATAATATATCTAATAATAAATCTCTTTCTTTCTTTCTTCTTTCTCTATTATAAATAATTTTTTTATCAGGCTGTGGTCAAACTCTTGGTCAGACTTCGATGGCTCTAACGTCAATCAAATTGTTTAGCGGCCGATTTTAATATTTTAACTATCTGTAGATTCGGTTACTGGCGATAGAATTTTGATGTAGGTTTTATGCACCTAACGTCAAATACCCATCGTTAGTAAATTAATCTACAGATAGAATATTGAAAATAAAACAAAATTACTAAGATACAATGAAATGCCATATTGTGAAAAAGTTATAACTTTTTGAATATTATTAATTAAAGTCCCTTTGGCTCTTATGCAAACTTAGGTATTTATGGATTTAATCGCCTTTTTTTTTAAAATTATTTTATCGCTGTTTATTTGTAAGTTCGGGACACCTAATATCTCTGTTCAGCCCGAGACCATAAACTCTGTAAAGCATTAAAGTCCGTTTTTTAACATAAAAATAAATCACGATAAAATCCGTAAATTAGTTATATTATGTAAGTTACATATAAAATTAGAGTAAACAAAAGAAGTTATTTTGCAAACTCGTGTTGAAAATCTTCAATCAGTCAGACAACCGATCCGTAAGATAATCTAATGTTCTCAGTTACAAATCTGTCTTCGAAGACTTTTTCGGATTTTTCGTCGCGGTCAGAACATCGCGTCGAAACTTTTGCCCGTTACGTTGTAATCACGGGGGAAATCGCGGGGAAAATTAATGGTTTTTCAATAAGGTATACCTCATTTTTGTGCCACAGAGGTGCGTGTTAAAATGCCAGACATGAATGTTGATGTTTAAAATTCAAATTATATAGGTAGTACCAATTATATAGGTAATATCCCGTGACCGTGAAAGGGTACGACATGTCTGGAATTAAAATAAAAAAATAATAAACGCAATAGATCCGTAAAATAGTTTCATTTATAATGTTTAATCGCGTAAATACAAGAAATTATTATTTATTCATTTGCTGAAATATGGTAGGCACATAAATATATTTCGCCGCATTTTTGGCATGGAAATGATTTACATAGTAAAATAAATTATCATAATATGGTAAAAATTAATTTCAAAAAATGTTAAATACCGTATAACAAAATAATAGCTATTTTTTTATTTTATTTGGTTGTGTTATATAAAAAAAATTATGAGTTTTTTGTACCGTACATAACTTGTTACGAAATCTCGAAGCATCAAAAAGAATTTGAAAATAAAGGACGGGCCCTTTATTTTTTAATTTTCAAAGAAAATGCAACAATGTCAGATGTATTTCAGTTAATTGCATCGGAAAATTTTCCTTGAGCATTCTTTTGTTCTAAGCATCTTTTGATATAGCCCTTTTGTTTATATTTACCGAGTTGCCATCTCTGCAAGGCCGTTCGGTCATTTCCATTTATTGAGGCCTTTATAACGTCATAATAGAATGGTTTTTTAATTGTTTAACCTGTTGACATAAGCTTATAGTATAAAGTCAAAATTTAAACTAATTTAATTATAAATAAAGTCAATTCGTTGACTTTTGTATGTCAAATTATATACTATATACTATGGATCATTATATTTAAGAAGTCTTCATGATTAATTTTTTTTTATGATTTCATGTAAGACATTAAACCAAATAGTATTAGTGTTTCTTCCTTTTATCTTCTTCAGATTCTATGGTGAATTTTACTACCGATTTACCCTCTATGTAGAGTCACTGACTTTGAAAGCTTCCCTAGAAAAGTATCATAAAACCAAGAAATAAAATGCAAATCGTCTCAGTGGCAGAATAGCCAGCGACCTGTGTCCGACGAAACGTTCGCGTTTAAAAACAAAACGCGCGACCGACAGCCGAAGCACGACGCGCGATTTATCGACGACGAATAAAAAAAAACACGCACACACGCAACGAACCGCGTCGAACACGAAAGATTAACACGGATAGATTATTGTAATAATAATAAAAAAAAACACAACACAACAACAAAACATATAAAATAATAAAGGCGAAGGAGACCGCGCCGCGGGTCCGGATCGTAAATCATGCTCATTATATTCGAACGGGATTATTCCTTTTTGTTCTCCCTCTCGCTCTGCCTCCGAGGCGGCGTGGCTCGAAAAAGCACAGCGGAAGGCTGCGAGGGGGAGCCATTTTGAGGGCGACGCCGCGTCAGGCGGGAAAATCGCCCGGCGCCCGCCAATAGGGAGCAAGCATTCGAAAGGGCGTTCTAGAAGCTCGCCAATGGCGGGAAACGGCGGCGTGCTCATGCGCTTTGGCGCCGATCCATACAATTGTGGATGTAGTACGGCAGTGTTGGCCCGGCCGTCGACGCGGTCAGACGTGCGTGGCAGCTCCGCGCGGGTGGGGGGAAGACGATGCGTCCACGGACCGACGTTTGAACGGTTGTCGCAGTGCTACCAAACGGATTCTTAACTTGGCAGTTCTAGTTGGTACGGGTTTTTGCCGAACGAGTTGGCCCGTGCAGTCGCCAAGGTCCTCAGTGATGGTGATGGCCAACGGTGGTGGTGGCGGGCTGGTGCAGTCCCCACCCGACATGTTGCATCACCACAACATCATGGACACGTCCTCGCACGTGGAGATGATGCCCAGTGAGTACCTGCCCAGTTAAAAAAAAATATTGATGTTAAATTTAAGATTAACGATATAGTGACAATTTGACGGTATATTTTTCGGATTATGAACTCCAATTTATCGTGTCGTCGGGGATCGGTATATATAATTCGGATTATAAACTTTGGTGGCCATCGGTGAAAGCTTATTGCTTGTTGAAAAATCGGAAAAACTATTCTATTTAACTGTTTTATTTTTCGCAATTTTTTTTTAATTGTGGGTTTTTGTCGAATTGCAATTTTGTTTTTAAGAAACACTGCGACAGGATAAAAAATAGTTTTTTATTTTTTCTTTATAGCCATTTTCTTTGTAGTACATCAAGTCTTCAAGTATAGTCAATTTTAAGTTTAATATTTATTCAACGACCCTTTATGACAAAGAATGATATGACCAATAAGATAAAACTTTTGGGATAGTACATTTAAAGTGGTTAAGGCGCTTTATGAACTATTTTAAACGCAGATAGTACGTTAAATTTAGTAACAAAATTAAAAACTTACATCAAATTGTTAGTCCGTATAGTTAAAATTAGCATTTATAATATTATTTACTCTAAGTATTTAAGTTGAATCCATAGCCGTAATCTTCAAAAAAACCGACCAAGTTTGAGTCGGACTGGCGCACGAAGGGTTCCGAACCATTATCTATAAAAACGGCAAAAAAAATCGTATCTCTTGTATCCTATACACAATAAAAAAAATTTATTCCTTTTTTGGTATTTTTTGTTATTGCGTCCACAGAAATTCATCATCAGTGAAAATTTCAACTGTCTAACTATCACGGTTCATAAGGTACAGCCTGGTGACAGACGGACAGACAGACAGCGGATTCTTAGTGAAAGGGTTTCCGTTTTACCTCTGGGGAACGGATCCTTAAAAAAGATCGTTTATGCAAAATGTTCCAAGCCGTAGTCTCTGCCTGAACCATTTAAAGACGGGTGTGAAGGTAACCGATTAGAAAAATATCATTTAAATGCAACAATAAAAAGTTGAAAATAATAAGGCACCATAAAATATTAAAGTGAACTTACTACGTAGTGTTATACACCAAAAAAAAGCCACTAATTAAATTTGTTTAAAAATTATATATAAACAAATAAAACATTTTTATTAACAAAAGAACGGACTTCAAACATCTTACTCCCTTACTTATATTATAATGGCGAAAGTTTGTATGTATGGATGGATGTTTATTACTCTTTCACGCAAATACTACTGAATGTATTTTATTGAAACTTTACAATAATATAGCTTATACATCAGAATAAAACATAGGCTATAATTTATATACATATTTTAAGTACATCTTTCTTTCTGTCTGAATGTGTTACGCCTTCAGCCTATTCTACGCAGCTAGTACGATATATTTTCTGCTTGATTTTTTTGAAGGAGTTTCCCTGACGTATCTTCGGTGCGCAAAATCAAATGAAATTAATATGGGACCAAACAAACCCAACACAAAAAGATATCTTAAAACTCCTTTATCAATGTTGAAGTTATGAGATAACAAACATAAAAAAATAACGACTGAATTGGGAATAGACAGAGATGACTTTTCTTATGGCATTCTACTTTGGGGAAATTCAGCCGACATAAATACTATTTTCATCCTGCAAAAGAGAGCTATTCGAGCGGTTTATAACCTGGGCCCCAAAGACTCACTAAGAAACCTGTTTAAAGAAATAAAAATATTGACTGTAGCTTCTCAGTACATACTTGCTAATGTTATGTATGTCCACAAAAATAAGAATGACTTTTCAAAATTTAGTAATGTGCATGATGTAAATACTAGGAACAAGCATAAATTAGTTCTACCCTCAACTAGATTGCGTAGAATAAGTAAATCTTTTATGGGACAATGTATACGCTTTTACAACAAAATCCCAGAAAACGTTCAAAATGAATCTGTTGCTAAATTCAAAAAACTTGTAAAGGAACGTTTGTGTGTTAATGGCTATTATAGTATTAGTGATTATATGAATGATAACACACTCTGGAAATGAATTGATCGCTCCAGGCTCTTTCAAGTGGAGTTTAATAGGAATCTAATAATTGTACACATATTTGTAATTTTTTTGGCAAGTAAAAAAAAATAATGTCCCGCTGAGTTTCTTACGCCGGTTCTTCTCAGGTCAGTGGCTTACCTTCCGAACCGGTGGTAGAGTTTTTTGACTATCAATAAGTAAGTGAATGCTTCTATATTGAATAAAGATATTTGACTTTGACTTTGACTTTGATGATTCTCAATTTTACGGAGGTTTAAGAGGACGGTTGAAAATAAAATAAAATATAACATACCTTACCTCATATGACTGTCTATACAGTTTTTGTCAGTCTGTCTGAAAGCTATTTTTACAAACACGGTCCGAGATGCCTAAAACTATTTTATAAAAATATATCAGTACATAGAATAAAACAAAGTCGTCCCGCCTGTCTGTTTGTTTGTCTATCCCTATCTATGCTTAGATCTTTAAAACTACGCAACGGAACTTGATGTGGTTTTTTTTACTAGATAGAGTGATTCAAGAGGAAGGTTTTTATGTATACGGGGCGGGTCGCTAGTATTTATATATAATATAATATATAACAGGATTTAAAACAAGAATTTTAACTTAAGTACAGGTATCACACTTTGATATCGTGATGGGTTGAGAAGCTGTAAACGTAATTTAAATTATATTTTATTTACAATGAACATATGACATTTAAATTTAATTTTAATTTCGATACTATATCCACTGAGACAAAGTCGCCGGCATAAGCTAGTAACGTAATATATTCATGATGTTACTCGGTTGTATACTTTCTGCGCAGTTGGTAAAACGCTCATCAAATGAAAAGTAAATACTGACGACTAAAAATAATAACTGTGGTCTGTTGATCCCAATATTCTCGTATACATCGCATTTTTACGTCACTGACATTATATCAATATATTTCATGTTTATTAAAACTATAAAGTATAAGTTTTGACTCGATTATGAAAAAATTAAGTAAATATCTAAATAAATTAAGATGTTGAAGCTTGCCTATTATTACAGAAGGCATTTTTTTATAAATGTTATTTTTTATATTTTTTTTTACTATTTAAGATTAAATGTATGTTTATTAAAGATCGACGACACTGTCGGTAAATATTGGCACATGAGATCTGCACATTGATTATATAAAATCCGGTTTTACTTTGTTTTAAAACTCCTAAGTTAAAAAAAGCTTACGGCATCCTGACTGTGGTTTTACATCGATGAAATCTATAAAATAGTTAAATTAACAATGTGTAGTTAAGTATGATCGGAATAATCTGTTATAAAGATTTCTTCCCTGCTGACTGTAAATCAACTTTTAACTTTATATGTTTATGGTCCAACTCCAACAGAATAAACTTTATCAAATAATTGTTTGAGCCCGAAACTTTCTTACTTTAAACATTTTTGTTAACACTTATTAAAAGAAAGTATTCCATATCCAGACACAGTAAAGCTTTTCTTTGTTTTATACTTAAATTCTTTTGTGTATTTATATAATCAAAAAAGATAACAAGACCGCAGAGTTTCTTGCCGGTTCTTCTCTAGACCGGTCTAGTTTAGTGAACCGGTGGTAGTTTGTTGACGTTCAATAAAAGCTTAACATAAGCCTATACTGAATGGAGAAATTTTGACTTTGACTTTAATTTCAAACTTTGTTTGTCCACACTGACTGTCGCTTTGTTATGTTACGTTACTTATCCGAGTTAACGAAGTTATCTAATCACCTAACCGTTAACTCCTAAACCAGTCATCTAAGCGCAGACGTCGCTATAACGTAAGCAACGCGACCCCAAACGCTGTCGGGATTCGAACCCACGAAGACCTCAACCATCAAGCAGTGAATAACCAACGGGCGAAACTCAATTCCGCCGAGCAAACTTTATAATCGAATGGCGCGCCCGAAAAAACCCGGGTTCAACTTTAACCGACGACCGTAACTGGTTAAAGGGGGGGCCTGATTGATTTATAAATTGTGGGGTCGCACCGGCATTACTTCGGCTACTGGCCATTAGAGCTCGGAGATTTATTTGCTGCACCAACCCCATTCCCGATAACGGCTGAGTTGGCCAATTCTACTCCGTTTGTTTTAAACTTTGCCCTGTTATGTTTTGAACTGAATATTGATAACCTCCTTCTCTTTGAAGTTAAAAGTAACGGTTACCGATGTCTTTTGTTGTGTTTCCTTTTGGTGTTTAAAAATGTAATTTTGTAGTGACTAATTAATTTATCCGGATTAATAGAAATTTAGCTTCTTGTCTTGTGTCTAGGAATGTAGGGATCCTTGTAGTCTGCTTGTCTTTGATTTTAATTTCTTTTTATTGGGGTTCCGTATCCAAAGGGTAAAACGGGGTCCCGTTTTACCCTTTGGATACGGCTAAGATGGATATTGCTAAGATTCCACTATCTGTCTGTCTGTCTGTCTGTCACCAGGCTGTATCTCATGAACTATGATAGTTAGACAGTTGAAATTTTCACAGATTATGTATGTCTGTTGCCGCTATAACAACAAATACTAAAAATCAGATTAAAAAAAAATTAAGTGTGCCTCCCATACAAACAGATATGATTGTACGGAATCCTTCTTGCGCTAGTCTGACTCGCATTTGGCAGGTTTACTATGTTGGTTTTGTTATGTTACGATAACTGTTAAATATAACTCGCCTAGTCTGTCTTTCATTATCCGAAATAGGACTATTATTGCCTTTCGTAGATTTCTTTTCGTGTTAGCAAATAAGTCGGAAATATTTGTAAGATAATTTACTTAATAGCTTGTCCTTACGGATCTTTTGCTACAGAAAAATTTCTTGTCACTCTTGAGTAGTTGCATGATAATGAAAAGCTTATTAAAGTTAAGTTAATTATGCACTGTGATTATTTTACTCTTTGAGAGGCCAAAGTAGAAAATCAGAGGCTACCGCAGAAAATCTACGTCTTCTAGCGTCAGTTTCACTCCGTGTTGATAAATGTAT